CCCGAGCCGACGCGGTCAACGGTCCAGCGGAGGTTCAGACAAGTATTGAATTCGAGGTCACGCTCCATCTCCTCGGAGTTTTTGAACTCTTCCTTCCCGAGCTCCTTGCCCACCTCAACACCTCGGTTGCGCATGAGGGTCCCGTACTCGGCTTTCTCTTTTTCGAGACGGGCGACCTCCGCCGCATGTGCCTCTCTCAGCCGAATCAGCTCGGCTTCTTTCTCAGCTCGGTTCTGGCGAGTTCTCTGGTGTTCTTCCCGCTCCTTCGCAATCTTCTCGCTCGTATCTTTGGCGTTATGCTCAGAGTCAATGACCTGGCTCGACAACTTGTACACTTCGGCCTCCAAGCGTTTCTTGTCCTCCATCAGGGCCGCAATCTCAGCCTGCGCCGCGGTCAGCTGGTCGGACTTCTCGGCCACCGCCACCTTCAGCTCGGTCTTCTCAGACTGCAAAGCCGAGATCTGACTATCGCGGAAAATAACCTTCTCCTTCTTGTCCTCGAGAGCCGTGAAATTCAGACGGAATGCATCCTCCACCGAAGTTAAGCTCACCAAAGCCCTGCCGAGACAAGCCTTGGCATAGCTGAATTTTTGGACGTCCGACATCGACCCCAACATACCCTCGGAGGTCGGATCCCAAGCCATCAAGGGGACCCGAGCAGCTTCAATCATGTGCGGCGGTTGGTGAAACTTGTTAGGGATCTCCGGGCGTTCCACAGACTGGTAGTCAGTGAACCATTCGGGGACACCAGGAGGCAGGTTAAGGTTGAGGACCCTTTCGTCATCAAGAGGCAAGAAAGTTGAGCTCTTGTCCTGGTGCACCGGGGCATTCCTCTCCTCAAGAGTCAAAACAGGGTCGTGCCTCATCTTGGACCGACGTTCCCCGGCGGTGTGCGGCTCGTCCTCGGGTTTCTTCTTGGACTTGCGCTTCTTACGGGCATCAGCTCCCTCCGCATCATTCTTTTCAGCTTCAGCATCCTCAGCGCTAGACACGATGATGTGAACGTCTTGAGGGGTCTCCGGGATCACCCGTTCTCCGAGGTCGGGGCGGGTCGGAGTCGCCACAACCACCTCGGTCCCCATGACCTGCTCGGCAATAGGTTCAACAGCAGGAGGCTGGACCGGCCTCGGCTCCTCTGTGGGAGGCCCCGACCTGGTAACGGGGCCTGTGGTCGCAGCACCTCGGTTAGTGGAGGCACCCTTCGCCTTCTGCAAAAACTTCAAGCGACCCATCTCGATGTCTTTGGCAAATTGAAGCTGGACTTCGGAACTGGAAAGTTTACGTCGGGAACTGTCGGCGTCCTCAACCGACTTGAAACCGTGAAAACCGAGGATTGGGTAATAAACTGAGAAAATCCATGTTGGAGAAGTCAGACGCTCGAAAAAAAAACACGGTAAATTGGAAACCGAAGTCAACGGAAAAACGAATTTACTCACCAGGAACAAGTGTCTTAAAAGGGCGGAGCGAAGAAAGTTCGGCTTTGCTAACTCAGTTTCTTTCAACAACTTACGCCAACTGCGATCAGAATGGTGGACTCTCGCAAGGTCTTGCAGCCTCGAAGCGA